CCCCAAAACCCCAAAACCCCAAAACCCCAAATGGCTATAAAAATGGAATTTTCAGAAATAATTAATTACTAAAATTTCAGTGAAAATGGAAATGGCTACACAAGATCTTGGAAGTGCTGACAAAAGCACCGATAGTGGTTCTGGAAGAAGGCCAGGAGGCTTCGCAAGCTTAGCTAGGGCAGCGATGAGACAGAATGGGAAGTATGATAAAAGCCATGTCTGATATCAGGTAGAAAACGTCTCTGAATCATCTTCAAGAGACATCAAAGAAGTTATTGATCTTGAACCTGAAGAAGTTGTCGATCTTGAAATTGATGAAGTTGTCGAACTTGATTCTGAAGAAGTTATAGATCTTGGATCAGAGGAAGAAATAATTTCTATTCCAATGGACCAGCAAATCCCTATATTGACACCTCCTTGACAAGTCCTCCAGACCTCTCCTAATCTTTTATTCAAGAAATCTGCTATTTCTACTTACTTATTATAGAAAGACTGGAGAAGGAGTTTTATGATGAAGTTCCTGACAATCAGGGTGAATTAAACTTGACCCAACTTCCCTCTTTAACATATATTACTCCTGATGGTTGACATGAATTCTGGAACTCATTTCTCTTCGAACTAGGCAAGAAGATCAATGAGATTGTAATAAATTAACTGAAATCCTCGAATTAAATCGTCTGATAAAAAAGCTGCAAAGAAGATTAGATATTGTATTATGACTCAAACTCTTCGAAAGCTAAAGGAAAGATGAAAGCTAAAATTAAATTCTAAAATTGGCTTTACTGATTTTGTTACAAAGAGTTTTGCTCTCACATTCTTTCCAGATCTATTCCAATGCGAAGTTGTTGAAGATAAGTTAAAGCTATTCTTTGACTATATATAATTTTATGTTTTCCTGAAGTAAATGTAAAAAATCTCCTAAATCGTCTACTTTCTACTGGTTATTTCACAAAATCAGATTACAACTTCTATATTTATCAGTTCAAAGGAAAACGTGCATGTAGCTTACTTCACGCCAAGATGATGGTGAAGAATAATAGGTGTTTTAGAAAGATTTTTGAAAGAGTTCTGTGGAATGTTCAGGTGATGGGGCTTGATGAGGAGGAGAGGGTTAGAGAGGTGATTGAGAATTTACTTGGGTTGCATGAGGAGGTTAGGTTGTCTGTTAAGCCCATACACTCACCTCTCTTCAAAGGTATCGAAGAGTCTAGTACCCAGGACTTCTCAGTCTCTTTTGTGGACTCTAGTGAGACGGTTCTAAGGATTTCACCTGAGAAAAGATAAAACTGTTAATTATGACGCATTCCATGTATAAGCATTGGATATCATAACTTAAGGACTCAAATCTTAAATTAAAGTTCAATATCTCTAGAGTCAAAAGGGGTTTTGGGGTTTTGGGGTTTTGGGGAGAT